GAATACTGCCGAGGGTGGCGTCGGTCGCTGGCACTCTCGTGCTCCCGGTTCGTGAGCCGCGGTGAGCGAGCTCTTCCTTCTCTCCCTCCCTCTCGCGGGTGCCCAGCACTTCCCGACTCGACGYGCGTTTCGGRCTCACTACGTGCCTTAGAGMGGGCTGAGYKCTAGTGCYGCTACCCCGTGCGCTAATTCTCTCCGTGCGCCTGTTCCYTTTGTGCGCTCCCCCCCTCCGACTCGTTATGTCYCTGTCGTTATAAGAGCATTTCTTCCTCCGCGGCCGCCCGCCTGTCGATCCGTCCTTTTSTCCGATTAACCAATCATGCCATTCGYTGCTAGTGTCTTCCCATCGTGAAATTTTCGTAAAAMAAAWTTGGTCTTCCCGCCATATTCGTTCTATAGYGATCCCTCCTTCGTGGCCCTTTCCAACATTCAGTTGAGAATTTTCGCTTCCCGCCCGACGTGCATYTCGGTTCTTGAGTTGTCACATCTTTCCCTCTCTCGGTCCCAGGCRYGCGYTGTCTTAAGYGGTAGCCTTACTTGATCGRTCCCCCCAGACGCACGCCCCCCCTTCTCTCAGTCGGTCCCACCTCCCCCCTTCTCGTCCAATCTTCTCTCTTGTTTCCTTTCCTCTTCGGATCTTACCYGCAATGCAKCTTAATCACGTTGATGCTCTTCCTCGTACTTTCGAGCCCCTTTTCCGCTCTTTCGKTTTCTTTCCCSATCCGACGGTTGAGCCTGGAGCCAATGTCAGTTATCAAGAARACGGRCGCGCTCTCCTCTCCCGTTTCGACCAAYTCCCGACTCCCTAYATTCGCCCCGTCGTCGTTATGCYGAAGCAGCCCWGAATCGTCGGGGTTGTCGGCTCGCCACTTWGCCAGGGTCGACGCCCGAGCACCGTGCAGTCGCCTTCTGACTCCATCATACTCCACACTTCCCCCCCTTTTGCTCGGTGGGTTTTGTAYGGCCACCCTTCCAGCCAGGCCAATCGCCCTGGACTCGGAGATCCCAACAAAAATCCGATTTTTCCCCCGCCCGCACRTCCTTCGCTTGCAGCCGCTTTCTCCCCCCCCATTGTMWACTKGCGTCCGATGKKMMACGTGGGCCCAAGGAACCCCAAGAATCCCTCACAACCTACAATCGTATGCACTCATTCATCAGGGCTTGCAAAGRGAAACACACCGCCTGGTAGCGTAGCCGAAGACCCGTACTTCACGGGAACGATTTCCCCTGTCCCAATCCGACTTGCCCCTTGCCCTAAGTTGGCGACCGCCATTGCTTCACCCTCACACTTGGCAGGACGTGGATAGACGCTGTAGTTGCTATGTTCACCATCCAGCCCTCTGGCTGTTGACCGGACAGAGCATTTGCCACCGTTATCCCACGAAACACATCAGCATTCATTTTAACGAAGACACACGTCGACGGCCAATCATCTGGCGCAATCCACCACCTGGACTGCACCTCGTGCCGGTCCGGGTTGGACACTTTTTCGTACCTTCTTTTGACCATGTTTTCATCCTTAGCCCCCAAGCCGTCCTTCCGCTCTCGGCCCCACTTTACGGTCCTGCGTAGATTCGCCTCCATCCCAACTCTTTCAAGGTTAGTAACAAAAAAAAAAAAAAACAAGCACCCCTCAAGTCTGAGGCACCCATACATCCGAGTATGCAAAAATAAAAGAAAGCATGCCAAAATTTTCATGCTCGATGAAAAAGGTGTGCTCGGCTGGTAGGCAGCCGCCCGACAACCAGCCCACACCCCATATTCTCGCCGTCCCCGRCGAGCTTTCCCGCATCCTTCTTCTTTACCACACYCAATGGTCGTATCTTTCCCTGGCCCATGGTTCGCAWTGTCCCACCCTTTTTTTTTTGTGAGGTTAYGTTTATCCCTTGTTCCCCCTTGACTTTTTRGTTTTTAGACCGCATCGCCTTATTACGGCACTGCCCCCCTTAGTCTCCTACCTGCGGAATTATGATAYATGTTTCCTTTAGCTATGGTACAGCACCGCCCTTTGGGACCGCGACACACGTTTTTTCTCTAWYTATGGTATAACACGTTCTCTCTAACTATAGCACCYCACAGTTTCTCTAACTACGGTACATCCCCCCCCTTTTCCCCCAAGCGAATCTATACTCACCTCCGTCTCCTCRTCTTTCTCTCTCGCCTTTCTTTCTTTCGCTTTCTCTCATCTCTCTCACGCTTGATTCTCAAGGCTTTCCTTGAGGCGTTCCTTCTCTCTCTCATCGTATATTTTCCTCGTCGGTCGGTATCACTGTCATGCTCCCTTGACCGTTTCTTCCTTCTAGGGGTCCTTAGCAGGGGAGGTTTCCGAACCTTATACCCCCTCTTAGGCGGCCGCGAAGAAGCTTCTTGCTTCGAAGTTTCTCCCTTCTCGTGGGTGGCAGCCTCTTTCGCATCAACCGCTTTCTTCCCTTTCCCTTTGGGATTCTCTCCAAGATTCCCTCTCTATCGGAAAAGTTTGAGGCGAGCCCCCGGGATAGGGTCCTGTAACCGGGTCCCATCTAATTTAGCAAGGAGATATGGCCCCCCATCCAATCTTTTTAGGACCCGGTACGGCCCCACCGGTTGGCTAACTTCCTGCTCCAAGTCTTTTCTAGCGACGAGTCGTACATCAGGACGAGGTCACTGAAATTAATCGTTTTTTTCCAGATGCATTCGTTTTTCCTTATTAAAAGAAATCAGTCAATTCAAAAATAAGTTTTTTTATTGGGAAGCATGTTCAAAAAGTCAATGATGAATCATTTTGACTCTCTTTTATTTGATTCGGCTTTTGTCGGACCCGCAAATTCTTGTCCCATCTTTCTTTCCCTTTCGTCCTCTCCTTTTCGATGTTTCTCCCTGCCTCGGTAAGCCTTGCGTCAAGGTTCTCGGCTATTTGTTGTATCCTCGCCTCTAACAATTCTCCCCTCGTCATGTTGGCTTTCCACGAAACACTTGTCCAAGTGTCGACGTGAAATTCGATGGGCAGAGGGCAATGTCTACCGAACCAAAGGGTGTAGGGAGAAAACCCCGTACTTGATTTGACCGTGATGTTGCCCTCCCAAACTGCGTAGCGCAAATACTTTGGCCACTGTTCCACACGATCTTTGCACCATTTTGCTAAGGCATCTACAAGCGTTTGGTGACCTCTTTCGACCGGGGCGTTGCTTTGCGGGTGATAGGCGGTCGTGTAGGCCGCTTTTATCCCCGCCCTTTCTAATATCGCCTTGACTTTTTGACTCAGGAACTCGGACACCCTATCCATCACCATCTTCCCAACACACCCGTACCTTGCGATGTACTCTAAGAGAAAGTCACTCACCTCCTCGACTGTCTTCTTCTTAATGACCTTAGCTTCCACGAATCCAGTGAGGCCGTGGCGAGCGTTGATTATGTACCGAAGCCCGCCGACTCCCTTCTGCATGGTTACCAAGTTTATATGGACCTTCTTGCCCGGTATAGTGGGGAGCGAAGGAACCAGGGGCTCCTTATAGCGAACCGTTGCCCTCTTTTGGCAAGCTTCACAGGTCGAACAGTATTTTTCGACCTCACCGTATAATCCATCCCACCAATAAAGTCGCTGAACCTTATCGAACGTCCCTTTCACTCCCTGGTGTCCGCCGACGACCCCACAATGTAACTCTTCTATGACCGCCTTTCTATCTTCCGGGTCGCAAAAACCCTCATTGGAATGACGAACTTGGTGGGCCTCTTAAAGAGGTGGCCTCCTCGTAGGCAATACCCGAGTGCCTCACTCTTGATTACCTCGGTGCCCTCTCCCCGACCAGCCAGGTATAACCCTATATCCCGGATTTTCTGTCGTAAAGGTTGGTGAGGAACGTCCTAGGGCCTTCGCCTCCCTCTCGGATGGCCACTGCCACTTGCGCCTTGTTAGCGGCTACTTGGACTACCTCGTTCTTGCCCATCGTTTGCGTTGCCTCCTCCAATTTACGATAATCCTCTTCTCGGATGGGAAGCCTGGACAAGCCGTCTGCGACTTGATTCTTGGTCTCGGAGATCCTCTCGACCCTATAATCGTAGAGCCTGATATGAATCATCCATCTAGCGATAGTAGGGTCGGTTAGCGATAAGTCCTTTTGAAGGACAGCTGCTACTGCGGTCGGGTCCACTTTCAGGASGAACCGCCTCCCATAGATATAGTGGCGGAAGGTCTTTAAGCAGTGTAGCACTCCCAACACCTCCTTCTTGAATTGGCTATAGTTTCTTTCGGCAGGATTCAAGGTCCGACTCTCAAATCGAAAAGGTCACTCTTTCCCGCCTTGATCCTTTTGAGACAGAAGCCCTCCTACGGAGCAAGGCCCCGCATCCGTGGAAACCATAAACGGGCAACTCTCCTCGTCTTCGAAGAATGGAACGCCTAAGACTTGMCCACCTTCGCGAAACTCCTCTTTAAGGGYTTCCATGGYCGCGGCCTGATCCTCTCCCCAGACCCATCMTTMCACTTTCCTAAGCAACCRTCTTAGAGGCTCCGCCTTCTCACTRTAGCCTTTTATAAATATCCTCCAGTAGCACACCACCCCTAGAAATTKCCTAACCTTAGTGATCGACYTTAGCGGCGACGRCCAGGTCATCAACTTTTCCAATTTTGCAGGATCGGGCCTCCGCCCATCCTTGTCACAWACAAAACCCAATATCTTGATTGACGACACTCCCCAKCGACTCTTAGTCCTACTCATAGTAAGGTTGGCGTCGTCTAATTTCAYAAGGACCTCTTTAACATCCCTCACRTGGTCTACCACAAACTTCCTCACCCCGGGGAAGACCTCYGTCCCATCCTTTTGGATCGGCCCRTTTATCGGGAAGTCGTCAAGGAAGACCTCTACCTTATTCGGTAYGAATTCCTTGAGGACTGCGATCATGACTCTTTGGAATACYGCCACRCCGTTCGTCCACCCCATCGGTACCAGCATCATCTGAATTAGCCCTAGAGGTGTRTGCATCGCGGTYATGTGTCKATCTCGGTAATCCAAGYCTCCAAGGGGATCTCATCATACCCCGAGAAGAGATCGCARATCAAGTAAATCGAGCGACCTGACGAACCTTCCGAGAGTAGATCTRTCTCGGGTATAGACCCTACGTCCCTTATGGTGACTGCATTTGTCCTTTGGAGATTTTGGATCCACCTCAATTTGTTGGTACCCCCTTTTCTCAGAAAGAACCATTTGTTGGAGTAGGCRCTCTCACAAGGTTCCGCCACAAATGTCCTTATCTTTTCTTTAATGAAGGTCATTATCTTTTCCTTTTCTTTCAACGCATASYTCCACGGYGGCCTATCCTTCCAAGGGACGTGAGGGATTGWGTGGATCCGGGCRRGCTTGGCGTACCTCGGGTCGATCCTCCSCCTCTCGRAATCATCGAAGGCTATGGCTTTATCACAATCCCTTAGGGTCATTGCCACGTATTCATTTTCTTCGACCGTGAGGTTTCCATCCCCTATATCCATTTTCGCTAACCTGTCGGCAGTAATTCTCTGCCCTTCGGTCTCCTTCCGCTTTCGGATGATATCAGTGATTTCCTCCTCCGATTTTGAGGTTTAACCCGTTCTATCCCGGCTGACCGCAGCGGGCTTCACTTTCTCCGCCACGGTTTTATGCTTCTTAATTCCACCGGCTAGGGGGATTCCTCCAAAAAAAGACAGCCTCACACCCCCACCGAATTCTTCTCCCTCGTCCTCTTTCTCATACCCTACCCCATTGATTATAATCCGTCCTCCAACATCCTTGACATCCATCCCGGTCCTCCGGGGGTTCCTTATCGGCGAAAGGCGAATCTTCTAGTCGGACTCGGCACACTCATGACTGGGCTTCCCTCCTCCTTGGAATACTGGTTCGGTTTCGCTCATCCTGAGCATCCACAGTCTTTAGGACCACTCGGATCCCATCCGGGCTTTGGATCGAGAGAGTTCGACTCCCATCGGGGAGGTCAACTGTGGTACGTGGACCACACTCAGCCAGGTCCTCCTGAGGATCAATTCGGAAGAATACTCCTTCACTGAGAAAATCGGGACTGTTGCTTCCACTCCTGCGACCTCAATCAAGGGGTTGTGACACACCCCTTCCGCCGGTTGGAGCTTGTTGTCCGCAACGACCATGGACATGGATACCTCYCTATCGACTTCTTGCCCTAATTCCTTCSCGATAGAGTCCCGACACACGGTRGATTCGRACCCATTGTCCACCAGGGCCTTCATCTTCTTCCCACTCACCACGGCTTGGAGCTGACCACTCCCAAGCACATAAAATTTCTTAGTCTCTTATTCTGAGAAGAAACTAGCCGGCAGCTCTTGCATCATAATTCGAGAAGACTGCACCTCCTCCTTGGCGGGTCCATCCCCAGGAAGTGTAGGTCCTCCGGTGAGCGGAATCCTCACCTTCTTGGTAATGCTCAGGAGCTCATCCCTAGCGCTCTTGCTTGCCGCTAAGTACTCTAGAAGGGTGCATTGCATTGGCTGCATAAAAGTTCTCCGCAGGGGTGCAACCGTGTCTATTTCATCCAAGGTGCACTTCATCTCGAACTTCTTTGGTCCTTTCTTCCTAGGGAATTTTGGTGACGTGGGCTTTTCCCCTTTCCTCTTTTCCGTGGCTTTGGCGTCGACCATCGGTTGGTCGTCGTCACCACTCCTTCTCCCCCCGCCTTCTGTTGCGATCTTCTTGTTCTTAGACGGCCCGGCCCCAACTTGGGTCCTTACCCTTAGGCACGGTCCCTCTTCTTCAGGATTGGTCTCAACAAATCTGATGCTAGACACCTGCGGCTCCCTTATGGATACGCCTCTTGGTGCCTCCGTCATTTGGATGCGGGAGGAGCTGGAGGTACCACCGACCTCAGGCTTCTTCCCAAGTCTCGCCTCCTGAAGGGCTATCCTTTTGTCCACATTTACCTTCATCGAGGGATAGAAGGAGACCGTTTCCCCATCATCTTCCCACACAACCCACTTATTCTCATTTAATTTTACCACCCCTAATCTTAGGGTTTCCGTAAGGTGAGGGAACTCCCGCTTGATGTGACCTTCTTCATTGCAGTAGACACACCCGCTCCAAGGTGTCGGATTGCTCGCGTGAGGGGCCACTTGAGGTGCCGCCCCCACGGTCGTTGGAGAACCARGCGGCAGAGRCRCTCTTGCCTGACTTACCTCGGGGYGAGACCCCGCGGCCCTAGGTTGGGGAGGGTCTTYCCACCTTCCATCCCTCGCATCCTTCCAACCGGAATTCCCCCACCCCGAGACCCGGTTCCCTGCAGTTTCTTGCTYGTTTCTCCAGTTTCCTTGCTTACCGGGTTCGTTCCTCYAACCCGTGGGTCCGCCTCCCCAGCGTGGCCCRGGAGGCGCCTGAGACTGCCTCTCATTCCCGTGAGGACCGCCGTTCCTTTGAGTACGCATACTCCGGAGTGTCGTGTCCAGACTCTCCTTCATGTACTCTCGCACATCTACCCCTCCTCCCGTGAAGACCACCTCGGCGACTCTATYGAAATTCGCAGAGTCTCTAGGGACCCTCTCGAGAACCTCCTTCCTCTTTTCTTCAGGCAGGTGCAACATGAACATTACGCACCTGTCTACCTTTGAGAGCATCCCTCTATCCACCAAAGCTTGCGACAAATGTTTGAATCTTCGAGTAAATGCCACCAGGCTCTCTTGCTGCCCTCTCACGACCCGACGCAACCCGTCTATCGTGGGGATCAGATCGTCACATGCGAAGACCCTCAATAAGCTACTTTTGAAGGTTCTCCGCCTCCCATCAGCTGGGTATATGTGACTTCCAAGCCCTTTCTAAGGTCCCGACAGGGCTCCCCCTGTCGTATCTAATCATTGACAGGCTTATCTTACCCAAGCTAGTCTCTTTGCTGCCTCGACTAGCGAGTCCTCACACCTCTCTCGAGAGCCCTCGCCTTGATCGAGTATCGTCCGATGTAAAGCTTCCTCGTACTCTCCCGTCCTATCCGAGAAACACGCCTCAACTAGGTGCACCCTGACTTCGAAAGGATTCCCGAGCCACCTAGAGTCCTCTTCAAACCTTCTCTCGACCTTTGTCAAGGGTTCCCTCCATGTTCTAGAGAATCGCTTTCTTCTCGCCTCTCTAATAAAGACCGAAAACCTAGCTAATGTGGCCCAGGACCTTCTTTTCCACAAGGCTAGTCTCCGGACCTCGACGAGGAACTCCTTTTTGGCTCGCGGTACTCGATCTTCTCCAAGACCCGGACTAAGCTCTGCTTCTCCTTCTATCTCGACCTCGGGCCCGTCGTCACACGTCTCCAATTCCCAGGTTATTGAGTTAGAGGCATAGGTAGCTCTCATGCCGATCTCCCTCCCCGAAGCAGCTCCTCCTTTAATTCGTCGAAGATCTTAACCGTGGCTGCCTCCAGTAACTTGATCTTGCGCAAGGACCCCGGCCTCGCTCTCCTTTCCTCTTCCCAGCAAAGGGTCAGGATCCTACACACCTCCGCCCTTACTCTCTCTAGTCCTACCAGATCTCGGGTGTGCGGCTCGCTCATGCCTCAAGTTCCTTCGCCGACAATCAATCGCGATCCGAATGAGATCTGAGGGGTCCRACYCTTCTAACCCGGCCTCACAGATCTTTYCCAAGTACCTTCACGAGATGGTCGATATCCTCACRTGTTGGCCCCAACCCTYGAATGCGTAGCCCAGCCCTTCCAGTGACGACCAACTGTCCTGGTACGGATTTYGTAGGCACCACCTRAGCAGGGAGTGCAAGTCCGACCTCCTGAATCGAAACTGGTTCAAGATCGAGATCCTAYGCTCCACGACCCTCTTRACCGCTTCAGARGGGTAGACTCGTTCAAGGATGAAACGGGSGACTCMTACGGGATCACTGTCGACAAATAGTGGTACCTCTTCCCACCCCACATACGACACCTGATATATCCTTCGGTCCCTTTCTCGAGGACCCACCTCCTCCACTAGTCTCTCYAGACGCCCCTGTACTGCTCGCACGTCTAAGAGTGGGTCTTCTCCCAACTTCAAATTCCTGACTACCTCTAGGAGACCCTCCTTMGAAAGAAATATCTTGGTTTMTSYGATTACCAACCCCTCCTCGCTACTCACCGACAGTCGAACGAATGACTTCCCTCGACGGATCYCAGACCCTTCCCTTCGAACGRKTCTCGTGGRACCCCCTTAACTCGCCTTCGGTAACGTGATGTAAACGACTTCCCCCGCTCCTCCTACAGGCTCTATCGAAGCCCAAAGAGTTTCGGGGATTCCCCTTATCATCACCTCTTACGTGCTTCGAACCCTCTCCGGTTAGTCACTTGYTCTTCCCCAAAGAGGCGGGTGTACGGAACGTCGGCCACGAGAGCCCTCACTKCCTCAAACTCTCTCAATCTTTGGAATATAGGCGTCAACTCTCTCYGCGGGGGAACCTCAGCGTCGACACACCGAGTGTAGAGCCAAAATAGCCCCCGCGTCCGTACCCCRGATCGTAGMGCGGCTCTGAGTACCTCTACCRCTCTCCCTTCCAGGTCCCTTAAGAGTGACCRTGCCAGGAAGTCAGGCAACCCTGCGTGGAGAACCTARGAGGCCCGTGGAACCTCGCCCGGCTCAGCGAAGGACACTTCAGTTCATGATTTGAATGTCCCCTCTTCGTAATCTGTCAGGACCAGGTCGTTTGCTACGTTCCTTGTGGATTCGAGATACCCCGAATGAGCGTCTAGCCAAGTTACTAAGCCCCTCTAAACCTCGGTCCACGTCTCTTCGTCCAAGAAGACTTTAGCCAGGACCTCGAGGAACCGTCATAGGCGCGGCGATCCTCCCCTTGCTATTCCTTCTTTCCAGGTAAGCCGCTGAGCCCTGACCCACACGTACGCACCCTCTTTGATGTCTCCTCCCTTCTCAACACTCAACCAATAGGGAGTCACGCGGGGGTTCCCAGGGATCAAGACCTGGCCCTCGTCACTGGTCTCTATCGCCCCTATTACTCCGCTATCGCCGAGCGCAAACCTTAACATCTACTGGTATCGTTTTGAAGACCCACTCACGATATTTCTCAGGCGAGAGGGCGACCGACTTCTCGAGGGATCCAAGCCTCATAAGAATCCCCCAAATTTTCCTACGCGGAGGGATCCCCTAGTCGATACAGTGAGTGTATAGTACCCACAGGGCTCTAAACGGTAGGCCTAATCCTCTCTCTCTCTCCAAGAGCTTGACTATCCTCTTCTCGTCCGTGCTAGGGAACACAAAATCCGGGTTCCTTGTGATTACCGGATAGCACAAAGTTAAATCCCCTTTGAGCCCTAACTACCCACCTTTCCCTTACTTTTCTTGCCTCTCCGATTAATAGGTCCAGCCCAACCCCTTGGCCTAAGACCAGGGGTACTACAACCTTCGACCCAGCCCCCGACTCGACGAAGATTATCACGGTGACTTTGAGATGCACACCAGTCGTTCTAGCTTTCACTTCTTCCGACTCTATCCACACGAAATTTCCGCCGACCGTGATCTCTCCACCTTCCAACCTCCTCCAATCGGGGGTTCCCCCGTTGCTCGAAACCAAGCTATACACCCCTTGCTTGTCTGGAGGGGACTCGACAAACCTACCGATGTCCCTGTTCAAGAGAACCATTCATGCTAACCTACCTTTTGGCGGACTCTAAATACCCTTTAGTAACGGTAGTCTCTCCCGCCCTCACGGTCTCGCTTCGATTCCAAAGAGATCCTTTCTCGGATCCGGTCGGCCCTAACTCCGTATGGTACTGGGTTGTCTACACAATAGGAGTAGAACCAATGAAGCGAGCGAAAGGACAGTCCCCTCATTTTCTCTCGCCTTATAGATCTCACAACTTTTTCGTACGCGGCTCCTTCCTCATACACTCGCCTGAAGACGTAAGATGGAAATATAACCTGGACGCAACCCGTCGCACGAGGGTATTCCTCGTCTCGAGCACAAGTTACTCGCAAGCTGAACAGCAGACTGTGCCGAAGTGGTACCTCCTCGAAGATCCGCCTCAGAATAGGCGCCACGCGTGTCTCCCAGTGGTTTGCCTGATACCACCCTAATGCCAGTGGGTAACGTACTCCACCCAGGCCTCCTGACTCAAGTAGATTGTGCCCTCCGCACGAACTGACGCTCGCCGGGCCTTCACTCCGTTCCTACGTCTATTTCTGGCCCACTGATTTCCTTCCCAAATTCCTACAACAAATCGTGCCCAGAAAAAGACCCCATTTTCGAGCTAGAGGCCTTTCTCGTGCCCAGCTAAATATCTCTCCGTACGATAATCCAAAGGGACACTGAAGCACTCTCTTTCCTTGTCGAGGTTGACCTTTTAGATTCGAACCTCACCGTCACTAGTCGTCTCCACAATCCAGACCATGGATTATCCTCTTGATGATCTCTACTAACACTTTCCAGTCGTCCGACCCGTCGAGATAGGTCTCCGGTATAATCGGGGCGGGTCGCCCCCCTCGTCGGAAGGTTTGGTAACCTAATGTGTAGAAGTACCGGATACCGCAATTCCCTAGAAGTTCCCTCTTTAGTTGCGCGAGGCCAACAACCTCCTCCCAACTACTTAGAAAGCCTTCTCCTTGATCCGTCCCTTCTTCCACATAGAAATGTCAAAATCCCCGGTCCATAAAAAGAAGTTGTAACACCACACGTCTACTCCCCCACAACCACCCACGCTAATGCCCGCCGGCTCAAATTCCAAAACCCCTAGGCTCATAGTCTCCCCACTATCTTTTCTATGATCGCTACCAATACTCTCCACCCGTCCGACCCATCGAGATAGGCGTTCGGAATCACCGGCGCAGGTTGACCCCTCCTAGGATAAGTTCGGTACCCCAGAGAGTAGAAATATCTTAACCCGTACCCTCGCAACTCCCCTCTTTCCATACGAGAGTGATTAACCGCCTCCTCCCATCCGTGGAGGAAATTTTCCCCTTGATCTTGCCTTTCCTCTACATAAATGGCGACGTCGAAGTCTCCCGTCCACAAACGGAAGGTATAGCACCACACGTCAACCCCACCATAAGTACTTACACTAATCCCTTCCAGGATCGCCTCTAAGCGCATTCACTCTAATCAAAGAAGGTCATTTTTGTCATCTTTACTCTTGACCACTCGAGAGACCATCCCTATCCTGCAATGAGAAGGTGCCTGTGAGCCCATCCGGATCAAATGGACCAGAGAAGGAAAGTCGTCTCACTCGGCTACCTTCTTGTCCTCCCCCGCTGAGAGGCCCTCCTACTTCCAAGTATAGAGACTAGCCGCGAACACAGGTTATCCCTGAAGAATGGTGGCAACCCCCTCTCCAAAGTTGGACCGAAGTCACACACCCGTGCCCTATGTCCCCCACCGAACCGACCCCTAATCCTAAGTTAGCCTATCCGGAACCACGCCCCTACTCGGCCCATCTCGAGCGTGGAATTACCCGGGTCCCGGGACTTTATCTGCCTGCCGATCAATGATCACTAACCTGTCTACTCCCTCCCATTTTCCTCCTTGCATCATGAACTCTTCTCACTTTGTTCCCTTCTTCCTATTCACCTTCGTCTGACTCTTTTATCTCTCGGAATCGGAGAATTTAATCGGGGTCCTTCACAAAAAAAAAGGGTGGGGAATTAGAATTTTAGAATGAGAATGTCTCAGGTTTTGACTGTTACAAATACGTACCTCGCGCTCCTTGATTTCTTCCGAATTCGTTCTCGTAATCCCAATAGTCCCCGAGATCCGAGTCCGAGAAGTCGGCAAGACACCGGTCCACCCAAGACTCGGCCTCCGATTCCTCGTCCAAGGTCCCCCACGTATCTCTTGCCTCTTCTTCTCGAATTAACCCCCTACCCCTTCCGTTCGCAACGGCGGTTGTAGTCCCTTCAACCCTTTGCCCCGGGGCCCAAAGCACCATCCTCCTCGCCCCTAAGTCACGGACAGCTCCCGCTTGAGAGCCCCGTTCCCTTGTGGGAGTGGTGTCTCACGCGTGCCCTGTCCACAACCCCCGCGGGTCGAGAACCGAAAACCCAACCCCCTCTCGAGAAGCCCGTTCCCTCGAGGGAGTTTCTTCCCGTGCGGGCAACGTCCACAACCCGTGAGGGTCGAGAATATTAGAGGGACCCCTTTCCCTTCGGATCTGCCCTCTTGGATCCCAACCCGATGGCGTCCCTAGGCCCCCTTGAACCTTCCTTTCCTCTCTCCCCCTCGCGTCCACTCTCTCTCCCCCGCGTGAGGACCCACTCACACTATTTTCCCGTGCGGTTCTTCTCCCCCCCTTTTGATTGTTCTTCACCCTCATCCAAACCCCGCAAGCAAACTGTTTCACCCTCTTAATTTGTCGATTTAAAATTAAACATACACAAAAGCATCACATTTCCCGCACTCGTCTGACCTGGATGTTTTTGAAGCAGCACAAGCGGGGCCGGACCAGACCTGCAAAAACCAAGAGACCCCGACACCCCAAACCCCTAGCACCCAAACAACCCAACAATCCCTCGACTAGTGGATGTGTGCGCTTGAAGTCGTCTGCCTCTTTCTGTCTCTCTCTCTCTCTCATCTCTTTCTCTCTCTCCCTCTCTCTCTCTCCCTCTCTCTCTCTCGTCTCTCTCTCTCTC